TCTACATAAGCTTTCTCACCAAGCCCTTCGCTGCCACCAGTCTCAAATCCCTCCAGTCCGGAGAAGGCGGGTGTGTCCTCAAAAATTTCTATGATTTGCTCACTTGACTGGGAAGGGGGCTTGGGTGGAGGTCCACCGCCAGTCTTCTTATACTCTTTCTTGTAATTACTAAATTCTTTTATGGCTGTTGAGTGGAGGTTCTTCCACTTGTCTTTTATTTCTTGGACGGAGCGATTCGCTCGGCCAACAGCATTCACCTCCTTGGTAATCTCCTCCCAGACTTGACTTTTTTGGGGGGTTGTTATATTATTCGTCAGCTTTGACTGGATCACATCAATATGTTTTATTACACTTTCTGTAACTACGGAAATCTCAAGCGGTGAGAAATTTGGTTTTTTTTTCCTTTCCTTTACTTCAATTTCTTTCACCTCACTTTCCGCCATTTTGTTTTCTTCACCGGCCCCGCAATCCGCGCCAATTTTTCGCGCCATATTTTTTTAGAGGCAGGCGGTCGAAAAACTCGTTAAACCGGTTTTCATTTAGCACTAATCTGGGATTAGTTAATTACGGGATAATTTCACTTTCAGGAACTCCTTTTTAACCCACGATTTGTTATCCGAGGAATAAGAAATTTAATCGTGGATTTGACACTAATCGGAGGATAGATTAATCTGCTTTCCAGGAACCGGGGCCAGATCTTCTTATATTATATACACCTTCAAGATCTTTTTGCTCATCCTCCAAAAACCTTTAGAAGATACCTGTGTGCAATCTTCTGTCCTACCGTGGTCAGTCATTGGCCTTGGCTTCAGCAGTGTTGTGGAGCTCCCTTCCACAGTTATTAATTAAGTGACTTGCAATCAGTCGAAACTTTTCAACGGAAACTTACAGAACAATTGTTTTTAAGGGTTTACATGGAACATTGAATTTTCATTGTTATTGTACTTTTAATAAATAATATTCTACTTTTAGGGAAGTAATTGTAGTTTCAAATTATAATTTCCTTTCTGTTAAGCATTCTTGGACCTCTGGGAAAAGATGCTATGTAAATGTATTATTGAAATTATAAAAATGTGTGCTTGATCAACTTCAACAGATGACATATTGGTGCCACCCCAAACGACAACTTTATTGATTTTTGTATTCATTTAATCTTAATCTTTAAGACATCACAAGAATGAGGGTGGTGAAAAGCCTGGTTGGAATGCCAGCATGCTTTTAAGTTTTAACAGTCATGTGTTCAAGAGGCGAAAAGGAATAACCTCATGCCATAGGATTACAGGGGAGGGTTTAATCTTGATGAGATGACAATCCAGGTACGAGATATATCAATCTTAAACCAAATAAAGTCGAGCTACTGTGGAACTGACTTGTTATTTGTTTATTTTGGAGAACACTTCAATTTTCGTTTTGTCATTAGTCACTCCTCAGCATTGCATAATAGAGGTTCAACACGTGATTCATAGTTACTAAATAGTGCACTTAGGGGGCATATTGTAAATTATTTTCTACTTGATTTTGTTTAAGCTGTTTCGTGGTTAATTTCCACAACATGATGGTCTCAACATGAACGTCGCATGACTCCTCTGGTTGATTACACTGCCGTTTCACATTCATCTACTTTGGAGAACAGCAGTCAGTCTTTGTGAACAAAAACAAGTTGGAAGTTCTGCGAAGTTAAGTCACAACAAAAAGATATTATTCGTATTGGTTGACAGACAGTTTTTACATCCGCATTTTCTAAATATTTTATTGATTATGTCCTCTAGTTTGGAGTATAAGGAGAGAGAGAGGTAGAGGAAAAGAGAAAGTAGGCAGCAAGCAAGCCAATCTCAATGAGAGAGAGCGGCAGTGAGCTAAAGATAGGAGATGAAACTGCACTGAGGAGCAATGGGAGAGAGAACAAGAAAGAAACAGAGAAAGGAGACGCAATTTCACTGACAAGCATTGGGAGAGGGAAAGAGAAAGGAGGCGCAATTTTACTGATGAGGAACGGGAGAGAGAGCAAGATAGTGAAAGGGAAAGGGGACAGAATTTCACTGAAGAGGAACTGGAGAATGAGCGATAGGGAGCAAGAGATAATAAACACCAAATTAGCAACGAGTGGCAAAGAGGAGAGCAAGAAACAACAAGGGAAAACAGGACGAACAGGAAAGAGGAGAAGGTGAGTTAAACAGAAGTTTTTTTAGCCTGAATTTCATCAGATTACTTCAAGTCATTATTAGTCCCTCAGTAACGTCTGAATCGACCAGACATTAATACTGTCACTACTCCTTTGAATTCATTCTTGCAAAAAGTACAACATGCTTTTCAAGTGGCAAACCGAGAAATATCGTTTGGAAATGTCTACATGATACAGAACAACTGACAGAATTGCTTTACTCTTTTCGATTGTAATTCACATTTAATTTTCAAACTATCAACTGCAAGCAGTACTCTGAACTGGTTGTAATTCAAACTCGGTCGCAATCATGCAATGAAACAAATACGTACAAGGAACACTTAGTTCAATAACACAACAATTTCCTTTAACTGAAAAGAAGCTATTTGGTCCTTAATGAAGAAACAAGGAAACAAGAAAGAAAGGCTAACAGAATCATTACACTTGATGATGAACAAAAATAGCTAGAAGGTCAAATGACAGCCTGACATTGGTCTTAAAAACTTTGCATAAACAAAATCACTGCGGAAACCAAAAAGCGGCTCTACATGAAAAACCTACCGACTCTCTGCAATGATTCTTCATTTGCAGTTCAATTTAGCAATTTTGCTGTTTATGATAAAGATTATTGAAATGTTTGAACTCCACGCAAGCATTCCACTGATGCAATCCGCTGAATATCAAGCGACAATCCCGCTAAAATTCCTCATAATTATATATAATTATGTGAATGTTTAGACAATCAACCAATCAAAATCACTATCCTGTTTTCGGGTAGCAGTGACATCACTGGACGGCATAGACGGCTGGTTGATTCAGATGTTGCTGAGAAGAGAAAATGACTTGAAGCAATCAGATGAAATTCAGGCTAAGGTTTTTTTTGTTTTGCATCATTTTTTTTCTACCAATCACCACAATTTTTGAATTTTTTAACGAAGACTAGTGAGCAGCACAAAGGAAGACTTCTTGTAGTTGTAAGCTTTTTCGTTTATTTCCGACGCGTTTCGTCTCTAACTGAGACTTCTTCAGGGAATGAATACAACTAGCAAAGAACAGCATATATAACACGTTGTGTGCATAAGTAAAACTTCCGGTGGAAGTGAATAATAACTTAACTATGCTGTAAACGGACGTTTAAAAGCCCCTTAATACATATGTTAGCGTGTTGCTATATAACATTTGGGGGCCATTTGGCGCTAATTTTAAACGTCCGTTTACAGCATAAAGTTAAGTTATTATTCACTTCCACCGGAAGTTTTACTTATGCACACAACGTGTTATATATGCTGTTCTTTTGCTAGTTGTATTCATTCCCTGAAGAAGTCTCAGTTAGAGACGAAACGCAGCGTTACAACTACAAGAAGTCTTCCTTTGTGCTGCTCACTAGTCTTCGTTAAAAAATTGTATTAGCTACCTAGCAGAAGCCACATCAATGGGAGACCAAGATCAAGGCCGCAGTGGACTCAAGGAACAAAACAAGCCACTCTCTCTGAACAAAAAGAGTAGAGAAGTTTCTCTTGAACGACAAGAGAGTGCGAGAGAATCGCAAATTGCAGAACTCCGCAGCGTCGAAGTCACTCCCTCGGCCAAACCTACTGAGAGCCCTCCAGATGTTAAACTTGACTCGGCATTTGCGTCTATCCTCAAAAAGAAAGTTTATTTGTTGGTGGACACTGAGAACGCCCTCTCCCAATCCCACAGGAGGATTAAACATCTGGAAGAACAATTCCAGCAAAACACAGTCCCAAAAGGTCTGAAGATTAAGCCTGTCAAAGCTAAAAGCAAATCAGAGGATCTTCAGAAGAAGTTTGACGATATTCTCCATAAAGCAGAACTCAAACTTCTGGAAGCCACGCTGGAAAACCTACGCAAAGAAAGCCTTGAGACTGAACACTCCATTGCTCGCTGTAAAGAGGATATTAACGCCACCATCGGCCGATGGAGAACTTCGTTTCCTCTCAAGGACGAAAATTCCACCGAAAAAGCTGATTTATTGACTAAATACGCCAATAAATTCGTGGATGATTTCTACTTTCAATGCATGGCTACCAAAACATCCAAAACTCTCCAAGACGCCCTGAGTAAAGAGGAAAAGGCCAAGACACAACCTGGCATGGAAACCGATTTCACGTTAACCAAGAATCTGTCCGGGATATCGCCAAGGCTGAAGTTCAGCGCCTCAGCAGCCAAAGGTAACTCAAAACTCTCGCGGCCGCTCAAGACGCAGAGATAACGCAGCACCGAGCGATGTAAATAAAGTCCATAAACCACAGCGTAGAGGCAGATCATCGCCCAAAGGCAAAAACAACCGCCAACGTAGCCAAAGCGCAGGGCAAAAAACAAAAGCAGCGTGGCGATCGTCTGGCAGCAATCGGCGAAGTCTCGCTGTCAAAATACGGGCGGCGGCAGAGGTACCGCCACGGAACGTAGATAACAGAACTGCATACGAAAAATGGCTGTTCTCTATGGCTAAGCGACCTTTGTACGACCTCCTACCACGAAATTCGGAAATCCATAACTTTACCTCTCTGTATTTGACTGGCCGTCAGAAAAGGATCATCGGCCTGGGTTTGAAGTTCAGGCCCACGCTAAAACCTCCTGACCTGACACAGTTCAATATGCAAATTCAGGACTTTTGTCGCAGTGTCCGTTTACATAAAAAGTTCGAAGGAGAGCCAGCAGACACTGACTTTAACCCGAGGCTTTATGTAAAATCCACCTGGAATCCTCCGCGTGAAGATCCAGATCTTGAGGACAAACTGCACGATATATGCAAGGACTTACGGCAAAACATTAAGCAAAACAAACCGCACTGGAGGAGAAATCTTTCTGCCATTGA